AGGAATGAGGAAGCCCACGTGTCTAAGGTGTGTGCTCTGTGAGAAAAAACTCAGGAGCTCAAAAAAACTGTATGTGGTGGGTAGGGATATATGTGTCCAAGTGGCAAAATTCTCCCACACTCTCCTCACAATCTCGCTCTCTAGAAAAAGGTGGGTAAAGGTCTCGGTCTCATGGCATCCAGTCTCAGAACAACACACACACCGAGAGGGGAAGGAGATCCCTCTCGCGTGTAGCACAGTATCAACGGTTATCCGGCGCAAGAGGAGGCGCCAAAGGAACACTGAAATAGTAGGGGTGAAAAGGTCACTCCAGATGGCCCCGAAGAGGAGATTAGGCCGATCCCTCAGCCTGATCTGCTCCCAAGATGAGGTAGTAGAAAACACACCCGATGATGTAAGTCTCCATATCAGGCTATTTGAACCGTCCCCTGAGATAGGGATCTGCTGGATCTGATCTAATAAATGCCCGCTAAAACCCGCACCAGACCCCAACTCCCTATCAAGCGTCCCCCTGTCCCACGACCCGTCCGTCCAGAGGTCGCTAACAAGCAGGTAGGGGGAATGCGACACCTGCCTATCTCTAGACAACGGCCTATCACCTACCCACCACTCATCCCAGAAACTAACATCGCCCTCGCCCAGAACCCAGAAGATATGATCTTGGGCACGCCTACCAACCCTAGTGAGGCGCCGCCACTGCCTACTATCATGATCAACAGCCGTCACCCAACAAGGGTGGTTGGCACGTCTAGTGTAGTACTTGCCGCGAAGGTACTGAGCCCAAAGTGACTTTCCTTCCCTAAAGCGCCACCACAACTTGTATGAGAAGGCTGTAACAATGTCCCTGAGGCGGCGGATGCCAAGACCACCTCGAGGAGTGGGCGACAAATGGAGTCCCAACTCACCCAGTGGGTGCGTCTCCCCCTCCCAGAACCGTCCTCGTAACCCCAAAAATAACGAGCCATAATCTGGTCTATCTCGTCAAGAGTAGACCTAGGGGGGCCGAGGACCATAAGCAAGTGAATCGGAAGAGAGCTAAGAGTGCTCTTGATCGCAAGCCGACCACCGAAAGAAAGATGTCTATGCGACCAACCAGAGATCCTGTCGATCATCCTCTGCCTGACGCCCGCAAAGAGCACTCTCGTGAGGTTGCCCTTATATAAAGGGACGCCAAGGTAGGTAATCGGAAGATCGCCACGCGCAAAGCCAGTAATGTCGTGGATCCGCTGAGCCCACCTGGCCACGCTGGAAGAGGAGAGAGTGAATGTGCTCTTCTGCACACTGACCAGCTGACCGGTAACCGAGGCATAGGCCAAAAGGTGCATGAGCTCGACCAGTCCATCATCATCCGCCCGGGTGAAGATGATGATGTCATCCGCGTATGAGAGGTTAGAGATGGGAGGACCATAGCCACGGGTGCTATACGTCATATGAGGAAAGTCGCGGATGAAACCGTCAAGGCAGCGAGAGAGGTAGTCTGCCGCAAGGACGAAAAGGGAGGGGGACAGGGGGTCGCACTGTCTAAGGCCTCTAGATGAGGAAAAAAAATCGGTGGGGCTGCCATTGACCAGGACCGAGAACATGCAGTGCTCCACGCACGTCTCGACAAAACTGATCCAACGCTCAGGGAATCCCATCCTAGCCAGGGCCTCCCTAAGAAACGGCCACTCTACCCTATCATACGCCTTAGCCATATCTAGCTTCAACGCGATATTCGGAGCTCGCTTCCAGTCCGCACGGGAGATGTCGTGGATCATCTCCTGGGCCTAAAGGATGTTATCACTAATGACCCGATCCTTGACGAATCCACTCTGGTTCGGAGAGATGAGGGAGGGGAGGAGAGGGGAAAGACGGTCGTTAAGGATCTTCGAAATGAGCTTATTGGTCATGTTACACAGGCTGATGGGCCTGTAATCGGACCAAGAGCTCGGTTTGGGTCTTTTGGGGATCAAGACGACAGAGGTAGACGTGAAGGAATCCGGCATCCGGTGGCCGGAGAAAAAATCCAACATCGCCTCTTCGACGTCAATCTCGACAAGATCCCAATAGACCTGATAGAAGAGGGAAGAGAAACCATCCGGGCCAGAAACGCTATTGGGATCAATCCCGAATACAGTATCCCTAACCTCCTCCCTACTCGGGAGCTCACAGAGGCCAATGAGATCGACCGAAGGAGAGATGGTGGGGAAAAGAGAAGTGGTCGGGGCCACAAGGGACCCTCTGTCAAAGGTGAAGAGGGTTTGGAAGTGTGCAACAGCCGACTCCCGAATCTTAGCCTCCTGGGTCAAGGATGACCCATCAGCCTCGATACTATGGATGTACGACTTAGCACGCTTCTGCCTAACGTAGCCTTGGAAGAACCTAGTATTCCGCTCGCCCTCGGTCACCCAGCGAACGGCCGCCTTCTGCTTCCAGAAGTCCTCCTCCATAAGGAGTCGGAGCTGGTACTCGGCGTGGCAGCGGTGCATGGCAGTCCTATTCTCCAGAGTGGGGTCCAGGTCATAGGCCCGCTCAGCCGTCGCGTGCGCACTCTGAGCCGCAGCAAGGCGCTGATGAAGGTTTCCAAGAACATCCCAGTTCCACTGTCTCAACCGACGCCGCAGTCTGCCGAGCTTCGCTTTGAGATTGCGCATCCCGAAGAGCCCAGATGGCTGAAGCCAGGAATCCCTGACAGTGTCGTAGAAGGAGTGGTGGCGAACACACATGTTTTGGAACCTAAATAAGGAGCGGCGGTGGGTGCTAAAAAATCGGCACCGGATGAGAAGGGGTGAATGGTCAGACCCAAATCGAGTAAGGTGTGTGTCAGTCGTAACCGCAAACACCTTCGCCCACGCCTCAGAAACCAAGGCACGGTCTAACCTCTCTTTGAGTCCGTCCCTCACCCACGTGAAGGGCTCACCATCACATCCAGCGTCAATTAACTCGTAGTCCGCCACCGCCTGAGCAAAATCCCACATCTCCCGTGACCGGTCCGTACGGCCACCCATACGCTCATCGGGATGCAGAAAGATGTTGAAATCGCCACTAACCATCCATGGAAATTCTTCCATACTCTCAGCAATCTCACGCAGGGTGTCCTAAAGGTCATATCGCCCGAGTGGAAGAACCAGATCTTATGCGAAATATTACCCACGCCCGAGTGGAAACCAAGACGACGCAAGTAGTAGTCAAAAGAAGGTGTGCGAATCATCGGCTCAATAAAGCCAACGAAATCAACTCTGTGATCACGAATGAGAGAGTGAAGGTGAGAGAGAGTAGCCCTATTCGCCAGGCCACGGCCATTCCAAGTAATGGATGTGATGGACATATCAACGGTCGCAAGAGCCACCAGACGGAGTCAGCCTATGGCGAGGCTGAGTCGGGCCACCTAAAGAAGGCATGCGGCGGAAGGATCCAATAGCAGGGGAGATCGTCCGGCATGTCGTGCGCTGCGTGCCTCTGGTCCACGTGGGCTGTCTGTCTCGGTATGTGCTCGTGGCCTCTGAGTCGTCAGGCTGGCCAGACTGATCTATAGCAGCACTAGCGGGTTGCCCCATCTCCGGGGCAGTCTCCTGTCTGTCGTAGTGAACGAAGGCACTAGAGGCGAAGCTCTCGCATGAGATGTCATGTTGAGCGCGGTTAAGCCCGCATACCTGCGCGGGTATGGGTAAAAGAGAGGAACCAGCAGTCAGAGCACTCGGCTGCTCGCCGCCAGAAGGAGGCTGGGAGTTGGCTATATGCTCAGCCGAGCTCCCAATCTCAGCAGGGAGAAGATGGTCCGACTCATCCCCTTTTCGGGTAGCGGTGACGGCAGTAGCCCTCACATCCGAAGATCTGATCGGGCTAGATACGCGCACAGTCAAAGGACCGGCATCGCGCGCACTGTCATCGGATAGGTGGATGAACTCTCCCCTGGGCGTGGCGTCTGGCTGGTCCATATCGTCTCCGAGGAGGTCGTCGTCATCCAGAAGCGTAAGATCGGTAATCTTAGGTGGTCCGATGGAGGAAGGCACAGCCTCCTTCTCTACCTCTGGAGAGAGAATAGCAAAATACGAGTGGTTGGCCTTGAAGGCCGACTGTAAGGTCTGTCTGGGGAGAAAGCCCGTGGACTTGGGCTTGGGCCCTACTAAGTTTGGGCAGTATCGACAATCACAGCCTTGCCCTTATCCTTAGACCCCTTCGGGGTCTCGGGCACGCGGAGAGGGCTTTTGCCCTTTCCCTTCGGATCCCTCCGGCTGGTGGAGGGTCCCTGCTGGGTCGCGCGGTGGCGCTGCGGGAGAATGGGTCGTGGCTAGGTTAGTTGTATTTTGCTGCTAGGTTATTTCTTTCTTGCTGCTAGGTTAGTTTTCTGATGCTGCTAGGTTAGTTGTATTTTATTGCTGCTAGGTTAGTTGTTTGATGCTACTAGGTTAGTTGTCTTTTGTTGCTTTGTTTTTTTTTTGTAAAAAATTGCAACCCATAGGATTTGAACCTGGTACCTCATGGAAGCAAGACAAGCAATGCAACCACTACACCACTCAAGGTTGAGTGTTTTTTGTTGCTAGGTTATTTATTTCAATGCAACGGGTCAACGCCGGAAGTCAACGGTCAGAAGTCAACGACTTTCACCGGAAGTCAACGCCGGAGTCAACGGTCAATGCCGGAGTCAACTAATAATTATTTTATTATTTAATTAATGTATATTTTAATTGATTTTGATCTAGACAAAATGAGTGGCTCGTCTCACGCACTCATTTTAAGGAGTGGTCTCATTGGATCCGTCCCCTATATATATATATATATATATATATATATATTTTAAAAAAAAGTAATACTGATAAAAAAATATAGTAATTGGTTCAAAACAATAGCTTAATAATGAAATCATATTTGATACGAGTCACTTCTAATTAAAAGGATTGAAGGTTTCCCAACCCACAGAACTAGAAGTTGTGGTCATTCATGTTTGGTAAAAATGGGACTATAGAGCTAGTGACAAAATGATATATGGATCGAAATAATGAGTCAACACATTTGTACTTGCAATTTTCATTACATAGATCATAAGATCAACAAAATCAAACTTGCAACAGCCAAATTAATCGTGACTGGATAATAAAAAAGTACATAATAATTTTATAAATGTTTGAGAAACAATAATGGATCAAAGTTGGTTCTTACAACCTTCTTTCTTTCTTTCTTTCTTTCTTTCTTTCTTTATGGAGATAGATATATAGATGATATGGTACTCAAAAGGGTTTAGAGGGAAGGGTTTGGTTGTTGAGAAAATGTTGGAAGAGCTGAAGGGCTTCTCTTGGCTTGAAAGTAGGAACTTGATGCCCAGCTCCCCTTACACTCACAAACGTTAAACCATCATACTCAACTGTCCATCCACCCACCTGCATAAGTAATAATATCATCATATCAAGTTTAAGCTAATTAATTTCTAAAGCATGTAATTAATTAATTAATTTTCTATATGAGTAATGTATATATACCTGTTGGTTGTTAGTATACCATGCAGTCCAATCATGTTTCACCCGCAAACCCAACTTTCTTAAACTGTACCTCGTCGCTGTAACTGGCACTCTACCATCTGTATCTCCGCTATACATTCATTCTATTATTTACTTTCAAACATCACAATACAATTAACAACTAATTTTTAAACTATATATATACATATATTGATTATTTTCTAACTACCTGTAAACCCAAATGCGTAGCCCCGCAGCAATAAGTTGTCTCAGGATAGGGAGTATGGAGAAAGGAGCGTCTTTCCACTTCTCAATGGCATCGCTGATATATATAATATCATGGACCAACACTAACTAATTAATTAACCTTACTCAAAATCGTACAAATAAAATTATTATTAGCTACCTCATACCTGCAACTTGTCCAGGGATAACGAAGTCCAGTGACATTAGCATGAAGAGCACGTTGGACATCCGCTCGGTTAAAATAAACATCAGTATACGAATAGGCACAAGGGTCGTACCCAGATAACGGCCTCCTTCTTCCATACTAGCCAATTATTCAATTATCATAAATACACAAAAAAAAAGTTAAATGGTAATAATATTGGACAACAATTAATGATCAAATAACAATAAACCATCACCAACTCACAATATTTTTAGTTAAAAATCTGGAAACACCAGAGGGTTTGGAAATGGTGGTACCAATGTTATCATCAACACAAACAGGGGCATACAAACTGTACATATCTATGATGTCATACACATCATAGTACTTATCCAATCCATGATTGCATTCCTTAGTCAAGTTTAAGCTACTGAAATCACATTCTTTTTTAATCTCATCATACACTGTCCGATATAACCGCATGGTCCCACGCATACTCTATCATTCCTTTTTGGTCTGTTTCATCATCCAGCTCTGCATTCCCTATCTGGCCAAATTTACACATTAATTAATCCATCTTATTATACTTATTGACCCTACAGATATCTATAGTAAAATAACTAAAAGCACTAGTAACTGAGAAAATCCATACCAAAATTCCTTTGATGTTAATCAAGTGGTCTTTAAGTGCAATTTTGTTTTTCTCAACAACAAGGTTCGCAAGCTGAGGGACATAATGGCCTAAGATATTCGATGAACAATATATTAAAAGAAATCAATAAAAAATAAAAACATGTGTAATTATTTGTGATCATGTAGATATATAGTACATTAGTACAACTTTAGTTAGTTACGTACCTCCGTAACTTTCCCCAGCAATGTAGAAGTCGTGAGATTTATATTGTGGGAACCTTTGGAACCAACTCACCAAAAAGTTGTAGGAATCGGAAGCTAATTTAATAACACAAAGGAATATATATGTTATGTCAGTAAATAATGAATGAATTTAGTGTTAAGTATGCTGTGAGTATAAAGAGTAAATAGGATAATGGTAATTACCTGTCATGTTGTCACCAAGGTGACTGAGATCACTAGTTGTGTTTGTATATGAGAATCCAACGCCAACGGGAGATTCCAAAAACAGTAAATTGGCCGCTGCAGTCAAATAATTATCATGCAAAGGACAAATAAACAAGTCATTATAGATCGGAATAGGGATTAAATATATTATATAATTGTGTTGTGACTTGTGATCAGTACCTTTGTTCCATGTATGGTTGTTGAACTTGAGCTCTGGCTTCGTCCCTTTCTGAGGAAAGAAAGGTCCCAGCTCTAGTGATTGCCCAAAGCCTATTGATGAGCATCCAGGACCTGAATAAAAACATATATATATATATATATATATAATTCTCAATATGATCAATGGTAACTATAATGTTTCATTTATTTATTTTCTATTAAATCATCTTAATTTAAATAAAGTGAATTACTGAATGTTTAATCATGGTATGGTTGAGAAAGAATTTCATTTCTTATATGACTCGTGAAACATTAACTGCAAAGGGTACACTACTTGATTTAAATATTTGTATCAATTAGTGTATAATGGTGATTATTAACTCAAAAAATAAGATAAAATAAAATAAAATAAAAATTGTGGAAATAACCACTTGTTTAATTATTTAATTACCTCCGTTGAGCCAAAGGACGAGAGGTTTGTTTTGTGGTTTGTTGATGGCTTCAAAAAACCAATAAAAGAGGGCTCTGCCATTATGTTGGTTAACAGTGACATAGCCGGCATAATGATTGAAACTGACAGATGGTTGTCCGGGCAACCCGCTGACATGGTCCGCCACCTGCTGCGGCGGTATGGGAAATGGTGAACTACATTCCCACATTGTAACGCTCCGTTTTATTTTAAAGAATTTATCGAATTTATTAATAAAATCAGAGTTTTTTTTTTTTTTAAAAACCAAGTTAAAACCTTTATCGAGAAACGGGCGCTACTTACTAACATCATTAAATAACACACATGCACGAACTATCAATAAGACAAGTTCCAAATAAACGTAAGTCTTAAAAACCATCTCAAAAGATCCAACATTATTCAAAGCTCAACCTAATTCAACATAGTTCGAAAAGTGAAAGCAGTAAATAATCCAAGGCAATAATAGCAAACAAATAAAGTTTATGAGTCATGCGCACTTTGAACTGCTATTTCTTTGCAATGAAGAAAATTGGTGCTGAATTTGGTACATAACAGACGTAATTTTTGACTGCTAGTATGTTTGCCAGTTTATTAAGAATTTCTACTTGTAGTCGAAATTCTATATTAATTAGTAATTGTTTATATTTTTTTTTTTATTTGAGTTGGAAATGAATTTCAGCATAAAGAAACCATTCGTTTCCGTGCTCTAGAGGCCGTCGCCTCTTGCAGAACAGCACACGTTCTTGTCATTGTCGAGCAGCTCTAGTTTGTACGACACAAAAGTGATAATCTATCTACCTATAACTCTATTAAAAGGAAGAGTAGTTTCTTGAAACTTTTGAATTGTCAAGAATGCTTTTACTAATGATAAGTTTTAAGGTTATTATTGTAATTTTTCGTATTAAAGTTAGAAAGTTAGAACTAACACTATTTGTTAATCTGAATATCCTCTTGTTCGATCTCAACAAAGGTGGTTTCTTTATCTGAGAGGGATATACTGTTAAGTTTTTGGACGAGATAATCATCCTTGCCCACCTCACCTGGTTCCCCCATTGATGGCGAGCAAATAAGAAAACCCTAGACCCGAAATAATTTAAATACCGAACTAAAGAAATGGCAATTAGGGGAAGAAAGTTGCAGAGGAGTAACACAGAATCTCAAACTACAAAATCTGGGAATGATTGAATGATGATGAAATGGATTGAAGCTCTCAACGAGAGAATCGGCCGCTCTCAACGAGAGAATTTCATAAATTAGTTTCTAAACTTAAGGAGTAATTTAGTTAAAAACCGTTTTACAGTAAATTTATTAAGCCATCGGATGACTCTCTTATGGAGTCATCCATAACTTTATGTATTGACACGTGTCCAGTGTGTATTTATTGCAGGACACGTGTCAATACACCATTTGTGGATATCAATGGATGGCTCCATAAGCCGAGTCATCCGATGGCTCCATAGCAAAACCGTTAGTTTTTAAACCTCCATTTCATAATTTACTTTAATTCATTAATTTTTTTTTATATTTAATTATATATTTAAGTTTTTACACATACCAAAAGTTGATCTATGCAAATTTATGGATTTTAAATAAATAACTTATTCGACAAACGACATTAGGTTACCATTTGGTTATTTTAAATGTAGTTGTAAATGTAAGAGAAAAAATTATTTTAAGATTTTTTTAAATAAAATAAATTTTATTTTATAAATGTAAAATATATAATGCACCAAGGAAAGTATCATCTCTAATTTCTAAATATCATATACTATAGAGATTTGTCGTTATAGTATCAAAAAAAATTAAATATGAACAGTTTAGTTAGCATGCATATATATATATATATAGGGATTGGTTCCAATGCATCCACTTATTTAAAGCGAGGACGTGAGACTCATTTTTAGCCACAAGATTTGGTACACATCATGTGTGGCCAAGATTTACTCGTTTCTTTTTATTATTTTAATTATTTAAATATTATTTTGACCCGTTGACTCCGGCGTTGACTTCCGTCGAAATTCGTTGACTTCTGGCGTTGACTCCGGCGTTGACCGTTGACAACTAACCTTCCAACTAGGTTAGTTCTCTGTAGTTGCTAGGTTAGTTCTCTGTAGTTGCTAGGTTAGTAGTTGCTAGGTTAGTTCTCTATAGTTGCTAGGTTAGTTCTCTATAGTTGCTAGGTTATTTTTCTGATGTTGCTTGGTTAATTGTCTGTAGTTGCTAGGTTATTTTTTATTTTAAACTAAAGAAAACAGAAATCCTAAGCTACCGAAAGCGGAAAGTTGGATATCTAAGCTGGTCCATCCGTACAAGAGTGCGAAGGCGGAGTGGAGCAGTGTCGGTCTGGAATGTATGTGTGCCTGGTATGGTGGCGCCAAGGCTGGCCAGGTAATCGGCCGGTCTGTTCCCCTCACGGAAAATGTGCGTGATCCTGTGGTGGACTGACTGAAGTAGATCTCTAATGCGCAGAAGCGGGTGCTGAATCTGCCACGATCCCTGATGGCTCGAAGTCAGGAGGGTGGCGACAGCCGCAGCATCCAGCTCGATCCATATATGACTAGAGAGGTGGACAGCAATCTGAAGGCCAATCTATAGTGCCTGAATCTCTGCATCGTAGCTCGAGGAGGCCTGAATGGACGCGTGGAAGGCGGTGATGAGGGCGCCGCTATGGTCCCGAATCAAGCCTCCTCATCCGGCAAGTCCAGTGTGGCGATCAAAGCAGCCATCAGTGTTCAGCTTGACCCACGGAGAGTCAAGTCGAAGCCAAACAACAGCTCTGGCCCGTGGGGGCCGAACAGGCGGTGGTGGGGCCACCATGTAGCGATGCGGTGGCGTGCAGCCTGTCCATTCTCGGGCCGTGAGCCTGCCCAATGCGGTGAGGAGTGAGATGTATCTCTCTACCTGCAAAACAATGTGAGAAAACATAAAAGTAATATCCCTATGCTTCGCACTATTCCTTTCTGTCCAGGTGAACCAAAGGATCAGACAAGGAATGAGGAAGCCCACGTGTCTAAGGTGTGTGCTCTGTGAGAAAAAACTCAGGAGCTCAAAAAAACTGTATGTGGTGGGTAGGGATATATGAGTCCAAGTGGCAAAATGCTCCCACACTCTCCTCACAATCTCACTCTCTAGAAAAAGGTGGGTAAAGGTCTCAGTCTCATGGCGTCCAGTCTCAGAACAACACACACACCGAGAGGGGAAGGAGATCCCCCTCGCGTGTAGCACAGTATCGACGGGTATCCGGCGCAAGAGAAGGCGCCAAAGGAATACCGAAATAGTAGGCGTAAAAAGGTCACTCCAGATAGCCCCGAAGAGGAGATTAGGCCGATCCCTCAGCCTTATCTGCTCCCAAGCCGAGGTAGTAGAAAACACACCTGATGATGTAAGTCTCCACCTCATGCTATCTGAACCGTCCCCCGAGATAGGGATCTGCTGGATCTGATCTAATAACTGCTCGCTAAAACCCGCACCAGCCCCCAACTCCCTATCAAGCTTCCCCCTATCCCACGACCCGTCCGTCCAGAGGTCGCTCACGAGCAGGTAGGGGGAATGCGACACCTGCCTATCCCTAGACAACGGCCTATCACCTACCCACCACTCATCCCAGACACTGACATCGCCCCCGCCCAAAACCCAAAAGATGTGATCCTGGGCTCGCCTCCCGACCCTAGTGAGGCGCCGCCACTGTCTGCTATCATGATCAACAGCCGTGACCCAACAAGGGTGGTTGGCACGTCTAGGGCAGTACTTGCCGCGAAGGTACTGAGCCCAAAGCGACTTTCCTTCCCTGAAGCGCCACCACAGCTTGTATGAGAAAGCTGTAACCATGTCCCTGAGGCGGCGGATGCCAAGGCCACCCTCGGGGAGGGGGCGGCAGATAGAGTCCCAACTCACCCAGTGAGTACGTCTCCCCCTCCCAGACCCGTCCTCATAACCCCAGAAATATCGAGCCATAATCTGGTCAATCTCGTCAAGAGTAGACCTAGGGGGGTCGAGGACCATAAGCAAGTGAATCGGAAGAGAGCTAAGAGTGCTCTTGATCAGCGCTAGCCGACCACCGAAGGAAAGATATCTATGCGACCAACCAGAGATCCTGTCGATCATCCTCTGCCTGACACCCGCAAAGAGCGCGCTCGTGAGGTTGTTCTTATATAAAGGGACCCCGAGGTAGGTAATGGGAAGGTCGCCACGTGCAAAGCCAGTAATGTCGTGGACCCGCTGAGCCCACCTGTCCACTGTGGCAGATGAAAGGATGAAGGTGCTCTTCTGCACATTGACCAGCTGACCGGTGACCAATCCATAGTGCTCCAAAAGGCACATAAGCTCGACCAGTCCATCATCATCCGCCCGGGTGAAGATAATGATGTCATCCGCATAAGAGAGGTGAGATATGGTAGGACCATAGCCACGGGTGCTATAGGTCATATGGGGAGAGTAGCGGATGAAGCCGTCAAGGCAGCGAGAGAGGTAGTCCGCCGCAAGAACGAAGAGGGAAGGGGAAAGGGGGTCGCCCTGTCTAAGGCCTCTAGAGGAGGGAAAGAAGTCGGTGGGGCTGCCGTTAACCAGGACCGAGAACGTGCAATGCTCCACGCACGCCTCCACAAAGCTGATCCAACGCTCAGGAAATCCCATCCTAGCCAGCGCCTCCCTAAGAAACGGCCACTCAACCCTATCATACGCCTTAGCCATGTCTAGCTTCAGCGCAATATTCGGAGCCCGCTTCCAATCCGTTCGGGAGATGTCGTGGATCATCTCTTGGGCCAGAAGGATGTTATCACTAATGACCCGATCCTTGACGAATCCATTCTGGTTCGGAGAGATGAGGGGGGGAGAAGAGGGGAAAGACGACCGTTAAGAATCTTCGAAATGAGCTTGTTGGTCACGTTACACAGGCTGATGGGCCTGTAGTCGGACCAAGAGCTCGGGTTGGGTCTTCTGGGGATCAGGACGACAGAGGTAGACGTGAAGGAATCCGGCATCCGGTGGCTGGAGAAAAAATCCAACATCGCCTCCTCGACGTCAGTCTCGACAAGATCCCAACAGACCTGATAGAAGAGGGAGGAGAAACCATCCGGGCCAGAAACGCTGTTGGAATCAATCCCGAATACAGCATCCCTAACCTCCCCCCTGCTCGGGAG